GGGACAGGCCTTGGGCGGGCGGGCTGCGCTGGCGGCGCGGGGCGGCTGCGGAGGGAGCGCGTTCTTTCTGTGCTGGTTGCGTTTCTGTGTGGCTGGTGGTGGGGTTTGAGTTCTGTTTGTTTCGGTTGGTTTGTTTAGTTGTTTGGGTCTTTTCATTCAGAGCGTTCTGTGTGTTTGTTCCCCAGTCTGAAGAGTGACATTTTCTCCGTGGCTTCCTGGGACTTTCATAGCTGGTGCTGTCCCGGACTTCATTTCCTGCCTCAACGTTCCCTGCTTTTTTTTTTTTTTTCTTTAATCTTCATTTTTATGTTTTAGCCAGTCCCCAGACTTAGGAGGAAATGTACATAAGAACAGTAGCTGTCGTGTTCCTTCTTAGAGATGGAAAAGTATCTCAGCACGTACAAGGTTCAGATCTGACCTCGTTCAGAAGTGAGCTTTAGAGCAAAGTTGGAAGACCTGTTAAAACGTAGGAAAAACCCATGAAAATGGAGGATAATACAGCATAGGTTTTAGCGAAGTTAGATCAAGCCAGAGGGGAAGGACCTTATTATGGTGGGATGCTCTTGGTGTTTCTGGTTAGATGACTCCATGCAGAGCGTGTGAGGGAGTTAAATGCAGTTTCTGCAGGCAGATTGGACATGCACTTTGGCTGCCAAATTAACATACCTATACTGAAGAGTGTCTGGAAAACATAAATGAGAGAATATGATCGATTTTTAATGGGAAGAATAAAATGTTCATTATCGGAACTAATGATGTTTCCATAAAAAAGAATATAAAAGATTTTTGATGGAAGTGCTTCAGCCTTTGTTTTGTGTAAGAAAACAATTTATTTTCACCCAGTTTAATCTGAGGAAGGGTTGAATTCTTTGTATTAAAATTTTCTGCTCTTCTATGATTCAGTCTTGATGTAGACATCTGAGGGGGAGTCAGTGTAGCTATGTTGTACAGGCCTGAGAAGGATTCTTGTAGAATCTTTAGAAAGTTACTGGTGGATAAAATTATTTGTATTTGCTTACAATATTCTTCTAACCATTATTAAGTATTTTTATTAAATTAAAATCTGTTTCTTTGGTTTTGTCATTTAAAAATAAAAGCTGCAACTGTGAGCATCTTACTTTTATGTAGTACGTTTATTTTAAACTCCAGTTTCAGTGTCTACCTGTCTTGATAAACTGTTTGAATGTTGATGTTTGTCAGCTTCAATTCTCAACAGAGCAAATGATCTTAAGTCTTGACAAGACCACTAAATTTATTAGGCTTTATCTTAGAAACATAGGTGTTGTCTTCGTGCTTTGGTTTTTTATCTTCTAGCGTGTTTCCCTTCAGGGAATCTCAGTAAGCATAAGGCATATAATTATCTTAAAATGTATGAGCATGCTGGCAAGCTTGCTTTCTTTTGGCATACAAAAGCATTAGAGTCAACAAGGTAATATAAAGTCTTGTGATAAAGTGTATATGGATTATGTACCTTCACTATCTGATGATTTAGGAGGTTGGGGACTGATTATTCATGTGGTGATGAGGCTAGAGATATCAGGAGCAGGCTATGTTGTAGAGTGGTCAGAGTACAATGAATGCAATATTTTAAGATGTAGGTAATATATTTTTGTTACACAACTGATACACCTAAGGAAAAAATAGAGCTTCTTAGCACTTGGACCCTTTTACTAGGGTTCATTGGGTCCTAAAATACCTGACCTACCTTGCTGGTTTATTTGCTTCACATGACACACAAGCTACTGAAGTGCTGGTGTTGCTGTATGCAGCAGTGGATTGATACTTCTGTGTTTGTTTTTCTCTTGAGTTAGATTGGTCAGAAACATGAGATGCCTCCATGTTTATTGGAAGAATTGAGTGAGAAAGCTATCTAAAGACAATAATTTGTACCAGATAAATGTGCAGAGGCTTAATTTCTGCCAAATGCTGATTGAAGTTGTCCTGATGTCAGTTGCTACCTCTTTTACTACTCCCGAGGAAAAAGGATTCTGTCATAGCATAACCCATTGGTGTCCATCCTTGTGAAGAAGTAATACTAGGCACAGGTTAAAAAGACTTGGTTTTGCTTCCTGGGATGCTGTGTTTATTTAGGTTTTTAACATTTCAAAGCAGGCCAAAAATCGTAAGGACCTACTACAGAACTCTGTCTTTGAGCCCAGGGTTAGAGCTTCAGTAAACAGTGGCGATCATGAGAAAAAGATGCAATCAGTGAGGTATATAAAACTATGTAGATAGTGTCAATTTACAGGAAGTACACAAAATTTGGGATTTGTATTAGCTGTGAAAATAAGGAACATTAGCTCACTATTTTTACTAATCAACAGGACAAACATCAATTCAGGAAAAGGTAAATTAAGGAGGAAGTTGCTAAGTGATCCTAGTAAATGTGCCAGCTATCATACATCTGTTTGATGGACATATTTAGACCAAAACATGGGAGAAGACATGTCTAACCAAAACCCGAGTTGTACCTTAAAGGTACTATTTTTAAAGTTTTGCTTATGGAAGAACATATCAGGATTAATAATAATGAAAATCTCCTGTCTTTTATTAAATTGTCCATGTATAAAAAGTGGGAAGCTTAAATTAAAATAGCATGAAATAGATTACTATGTTTTTGCTGGAAATGATTGTTTTACCCTGATTTACAGTCTGAAACTATTAACTGTTTCTCCATGACAATACCTATGCCTGTTTACTCTGGCATCACCTGAACACTTGATTTTTATCTTCATGATGAAATACATGATCAGTAGTACTATAAGAGTGGCTCAGCAGTGTTGTGAAAATAAGCACTAGGGAGATAGGGCCTTCATTTCTGGGTAGCAGTGTGAAGGATGGGGTTCAGGCCATCTCGCACAATAGTGGCACATGGCGTGGGTGCCGAAGGGGATTTGTGCTTCACTCACCAAGTCCAAACCTAGCTGCTGGCAAACTCAAAAGATCGAAGTACTCTGTTCTGAGCAATTTCTCATTCTTGTGGTTCCTCTCCCACTAGTTTCAGAGTCGTAGACAGACAAGAGTATGTTTGAAAGATCATGTAGAAATCCAGTGTGTGATTAAAGTGAGAGTAGATTACAAAGCTGTCTCTCCTTCAGAATACAGACATAATTGAGGTGGCACTCTCTACAGTGGTGGAATGTGAAAGGAAATACTTTAAGTAGGTTCTATGTTCTCTTGAGTTTTTTAGGAGAAAACTGAAACCTTCATATTTACAGAAGGTGGTGTAAATCCTGAAATGCTGACCAAATATGGTTTTTGCTATCTACTAGATTAATTGAATGTATTAAAAAATAATTGTATGGATTATTTGGTTTATTAGTATTTGTTTAAACTTTTCTCTCTTTTTCTGTTTGTACAACTCATGCCGTGTTATTAATGGATATTTTTTTTTCATTTTCTTTTATTAATAATAGAATATACACGAATTTCAAATCCAAGATGGGTCAGAAGAGGAGCTCTAGTGGGCAGTCATTTCCGTTGCTGCTGCTGATTATTTTTGTGGCCTTTGTTCATTTAACTGTCTGTCCTTTTACAAAAGTAGAGGAAAGCTTTAACCTACAAGCTATCCATGATGTGGTGTACCACCAGTTGGACTTGGACAAGGTAAATTGGAAATAAGGTATTCTTTTTTGGACTCTTACAGATCACAGTTCTGTGCTATATGAGTAGTATAAATGCCATGTGAATATGATTTATCCCAGTTTTCCTTTGTTTCTGATTTGCCTCTTACTTAAATTTTCCTTTTTGCAGTATGACCATCATGAATTTCCTGGAGTTGTCCCAAGAACGTTCCTTGGACCAATTTTTATTGCTGCTCTTTCCAGCCCAGCTATATATGTACTTTCTGTGCTAAGAATGTCCAAGTTTTACTCCCAGCTGATAGGTATGAGAACATCCAATTGTCAGAACAATGGTGTTTTTACTACTTGACTAATGAGTGATACTGTTGTAACATTCAGTGTTTGGATAAGCATTTGCAATGTGGTATTTTCCTTTTAGAAGGAGGCAATTCTCTCCCCTCTTTGGGGTATCTAACAGCACAGAGAAAGTTTGTGCTACAAATTCAAACAGTGTTAGAAAAAACAATTCTCTTCAGAGAATACATTCCCATCTGTGCTTCTGTGTACGCTTCAGAAAATATTATTTAACTTTGATATAGAAGCGTTGACCTTTGTACAAAAATATCAGGCAAGTTTAAGGTAGATTAAAATAGATAAACTAATGGAGGAGTTTTGTTTTGTAGTGGATTGTGTTGTGGTATCTTTAGTATTATTCCTCATAATTTCTTCCCATTACATTATGTAACATGGTTGTTCATCAGTGATCCATCTAACATTACTCTTTATTTCCAATTTTTATTCTTCTAAAAGTCCGAGGAAGCTTGGGGCTCAGTGTGATTTATGCATTATGGAAGTTGCAGAAAGAAGTTAGGAAGCAGTTCGGAGCAACTACATCAACAATCTTCTGTCTCATCACTGTTACTCAGTTTCATTTGATGTTTTACTGTACACGAACTCTCCCTAATGTATTTGCACTTCCTTTTGGTAAGTATCTGCATAGGAATAATTTATAAATATAAAAGTTCTTCTTGAATGTATCAATAGTTAAAGCACAGAAAATGTATGGTCAGAACAAATTCATCTATGCACTTGATTAAATTGTGTGATAACAAGACTGGAAAACTTGAGCAGCTGTGATATATTTCTTTTTTGTTTTACCATATTTGCTTACAATGGACTGAACTGACTCAAGTTTTATTGTCAGACGGCCTTGATTAACTAGATTTGAGTACACATATCTGATGCATAAAACACAGAGCTGTTCAAAAGGCAGTAGGTACACCTGCAGTTAAAAAAAAATAAAAATCTGTGAATTAAGACTACACAGGAAACAACTTTTTCATGAGACTGTGGAACAAACTCCCACAGCAACATCTCCACCTTTCTCTTCTGGAGTTATCTACAGGTGTAGCAGTTTGTACACTTAAAAGGGAAAAATAATTCAAGTCAAAACTTTACTCCATACATACAATTTTTTCCCTAGAGATGATAAGGGGGAAGATGTGACAGATATTAGCTGAGTCACTTAATGTTTCAGTGCAAGTTGTTCAACTAACAAAATCATGAGGTTGGTGTAAGAACCTGTACCGGTCAGAACTGAAAAGCAAAAGGCAGTTGAATTGTCAGATAAACACTGTGTAGTAATGAACTTCTCAGATAATTTTTTGCAGGTGTTAAAAACATACAAATTGTTCCATGGCTTTGTAACTCTAGCTTTTCACACATTTGCCTTAGGATCATGACCACTGCACTGTGTAGTCAGTGTTATCATGTGATTTAAACTGAGAAAAAAGTAGAGGCAGCTAACCGTGCAAATGGTTTTATAGTTCTTTCTCTCTGAGCAGTAGTCTGTAGTCTCCTTTTTGTAATTGAAATGAGTTGCTGTTATCTTTAATACAGGATATGCTCAGCCAAGAGAATAAATTAACTCTTCAACTGATAGAGAGCAATAATATTTACTCTTTGTAGTTTGAAAGGATTTCAGTAATACCTCAAGGTTTGTTTTTCTATCGTTTTTTCTGCCTAAAAGCAATTAAATATATTGTCTAGGAAGAGTTCCCATATGTTCCTTCTGTGGTTATAGTTTTCCTAATTACTTAAGCATCAACAATACAAAGTTTTGTGTTATTCCAAATTATGTTTCTCTAACAGAGGAAGAATTTCAGGACTAGAAACAGTAGGAGGACTGAGAGAGGTTTCTTGGGAAGTTAGAGGAACAAAATGCTGGCATTGAGACAACTGTTGTCCTTTAGAAAATGAATAGTTCAGCATGTCGGATGATGTGTTTTATTTATTTTTGCAGTGCTCCTGGCATTGACATTTTGGATACAGCAAAAGCAAAGGCCATTCATTTGGTTCTCAGCTTTGGCAATTATAGTCTTCAGATCAGAGCTCTGCATATTCTTAGGCCTCATGCTCCTGGTGACGTTATTAACTAAAAGAGTCTCCATTTTCAAGGTGCTTTCCCATGCTGTTCCTGCTGGAATTTTTTGGTTGGGTAAGTGTTGGCTTGGGAGAAAAAAACAAACAGCCACATATTAAATTTATCAAAAGTCTGGAGATTTGGCTGATTCCTCTGATCACTTGGTCTTTAGGGCTTGCCTTTTTTTTTTTTTTTTTTCCTTTTTTTTTTTTTTTTGGCTTAGTTAGTAACATGACAAAGTTATTTGTTTATTTTAATATTTTCATGGGAGCAAATAGATGTGCACAGAGCACTAGAAAGATGCTGTGACCCCTGACTTTAGATGTTTACAGTACAATGCCCTGATCTTAAAAAGGCTTAGACTTGCAAGTTGAATTTAGTATATTTAGTGCCTGGCTGTAGCTACATATGCATTATCGGTTGTAGTATCTGTTGCCACCGTGATAAGCTGAATCCCAGGATAAAATACAACAGTGTGACAGAGATACCAAGCTAAGAGGGCTGTGGGGAAAGTCACAGTTCAGCTCATTTTTGTACTACTTTTTATAGCTTAAGTGATTACCCTAGAGCTACCCATCCATGGAAGGCTCATGCATATGCACATAAGTACTCTAGGCTTCTCTGCCAGCCTACCAAATTAAAAATGGTGTTGTCAGATTTCTGATTATGACTTCTGTTAGTGTACTGTCCCTTCCACAGCATGGACAGTAGAAACAGTAAAAGATAATGCCGTGTGCATTTGGAGGCACCTCACAGCAGAAGAGGTTGGAGGTCCAATGGGAATTAGTCACTTGTACTGCCATTCCCTCTCTGGGCAACCTTCTTAAATACCAGAGCAGTTTTCATAGAGCTGAATGGATGAGATGAGGCTGATGGATTTGCTGCTCTTACTGTTTTTTTGCCTTTCATCCCCTACCCTCCTTCTCACCCCCCTAATAAATAGTAGTGAACTTCCAGATTGTTTTTCATAACAGCTTTATAATAAAAATCCATTTAATACTATATGAAGTTAACCCAGGTTTCTTACCATTCATTACTTTTAAATCAAACTTTAATTAAACTTATGCTTTTCACAGCTGGGACTGGAGTGGGGTGAATCTCAGATTCCTATCTAACATGCTCCTATTAAGACTTCTATTTAAAAAGTGCCTCCCTTCCCTGCCTTTCCGTTGCAAGCCAGGGTCAATCATCTCTGTGGCTTTGGGTGAGGCTTACAATGCATGTGCCAGTTTATGTAGATCTCATCAGTAAACGTGCAATATGGATGTGCTAGTTTGCTTTTCCCTAGTTTTTAATTCACGCAGATTTGTATTTCTTTAATTCTTTTAGGGCTAACAGTTGCTGTGGATTCTCTGTTTTGGAGGCAACTTGTGTGGCCTGAGGGGAAAGTGCTCTGGTATAACACGATTTTAAACAAAAGTTCCAACTGGGGAGTATCCTTTGAAGTGTCCAGGGGAAAAAGATCTATTGAACCCTAGCAAACAAAGCAAAGACTTGATGCAGTCTTCTCCCAAGACTGTCATGGTGTTAATTCTACTTTTTATGAAGTGTTTAATTATTTGAATCTTATGAGACAATGTCTGTTTCTTAGATATTACAGTGAATTTTCACTTTTCTCTGCTGATGGTCCCTCCTTCCTTTTTTTTATGCTACCAACGTGAAGTGAGGTTTCTTCCCCTTAATTTTTCACCATTTGATGTGCCCCTGTTGGGTAATATGAATGTAATTAGGGAATTGCTTTTATTTCTCAAAGGATGAGGCAGGAAACAAAACACCTGGAAGATTGTGATGCACAGAAAGTATACTGCATATATGCAAAATTTGCATATACTGCTGTAAAGAATAGTTATTTCACTTGATAGCTGTGTGAGTATCCTTAACTCTCCTTTTCACCTTGAAGACCTCCCCCTTCTTGTGGTATTTCTATTCAGCCCTGCCTCGTGCTTTGGGATGCAGCATTATATTTGTACCTTTGGGTGTAGCAGAAAAGAGAACTCGGATATTACTTTTGCCAGCACTAGGCTTTATTTTCTTGTATTCATTTCTCCCACACAAAGAACTGCGTTTTATCATATATACTTTCCCTGTGTTCAACATAGTGGCTGCTAAAATGTGCTCACGAATGTAAGTTCAAAATTCAGTTTTGTTTTGTTGGGTTTTTTTTTTCTCTGAAAACGCAAAAGAAAAGCAAAACTGTTACTGTTTTTATCCATTTCTTTTCATCTCGGAATCTGGATCATCTTGAAATGTGTTTTAGACAGGAAGGTTGTATTATTGTACCTGGTCAACTAATGAGGGAAATGGAGACAAAAGAAGAGTTAAATGGTTGGACAGGACCATTTGGCAAATCTGGGGCAAAGTTGAGAACAGAGCCCTGATTTTACTGTTCTTGTATTACAATTCAGTTTATTTTATCCATCAGAGAAAAAGACACATGCCAGTGTATTACTGTGTTGCTAAAATGGCTTACTTTAGGAGATAGTTTCACATACAGGTGGGGCTCATAAAACGTGGAGTGTGTATTAAAAAGTTAAACTTCAGTTTATTGAGTAAATAAATTGAAGTTAAACTCTGAACTTCTTTGAGAATACATGCATAGCTAAAGGTTTTAAATAATAAAAATACTTTCCTTTATTGGAGAGCTTGTATTAGCTTTATTAATGAGATATTCTAATTTGAATGTCATTAGAAGCTAGTTTTGATAAATGGGTAATGCACTCCATACAGGGGGCTGTTGTAAAGTTTGCATTAATCTTTATTGTCTAGCTGTGGCATTTTGGTAAGTTCAGTCACTTTTGACATTGACCAGTATGAAAAAAAATAACAGTTTGTTCTTACTCATTTTTTCCCACCTCAACAGTTTGAATAACTACCGGAAATCCTGGCTGTACAAACTTGGATATTTCTTTGTTGTAATGCACCTTCTAGTCAATGCAGCTTATTCAGGAACGTCTTTATATGTTTCACATTTCAATTATCCTGGAGGAGTGGCTATTCAGAAGTTGCATGAATTGGTACCTTCAACAGCAGGTGTGTAAAGCTGGTTTGAGGTTTGTTCATCTAATTTCAATTGCAGGGGTTTTTTGCTAGTGTATCTTTACATATATTGGATATTACTTGTCACACTCTTTTTTCAATTATCCTGGAGGAGTGGCTATTCAGAAGTTGCATGAATTGGTACCTTCAACAGCAGGTGTGTAAAGCTGGTTTGAGGTTTGTTCATCTAATTTCAATTGCAGGGGTTTTTTGCTAGTGTATCTTTACATATATTGGATATTACTTGTCATACTCTTTCCATGCATCTTTTGTGTTAATGTATTAATCAGTGTTCTTAGAAGAATTTTGAAACTGTATTTTGTTTTCTTTATTTATGTAGATGTCTCTGTTCATATTGATGTGGCTGCAGCACAAACAGGGGTTTCTCGGTTTCTAGAAATCAATTCAGATTGGAGGTAAGTTATGAACGAGGTATTTTAGTCTTAAGAGAGGAGTATGTTTTTTCCTTTTTTGTATATGCACGAGGCCAAGCATCACAGATGCGCTTTCTGGTACAGCATATTTATTAAACCAAGTCAAGAGCAGTGTGACTCTTCAGATAATTTTGATTTATGTAGTGCTACTGTTTCAGATGTAGAGAGCTGCAACATTTTTTAATTGTTTTGGTTAGTTCTGGTTTGCCTAAGTAGTGAGAATCTTTTAAAGACATCAGAAACAGTGCAAAAAATTGCTTGCTTACTAAAACACCAGTTTTTTTAGTGCAGCTACATTTGATATCTCACTAGATCTTGCAAAACACAGCTGTAGTTTAACGCTTCCTGCTCCCGGCAGAACAGTGGATGTAATTGTGTAGGTAACTTAATTTTGCTTGGTTTTGAATCGTGTGGCAATGGGGATCTAATAATTAATATTCAGTGTCTATTTTTATGTGGAACATCCTTCACATAGAGGACATTGAAGTGCTCTTATAGACTATCAGTTACATTAATTTGACACCATGTGAGGGTGGTGAGATGCAGGGAAGTTCCTGATGCCACCTCCTTAGAAGAGTTCAAGGCCAGGTTGGATGGGGCTTTGAGCAGCCTGGTCTAGTGGGGAGGTGTCCTTGTCCTCGGCAGGGTTTTTAGAATTACATGATCTTTCAGGTTCCTTCCAATCCAAACTATTCTGTGATTCTAAGATTAGCTCTGAGAGAAAGCAGTTGAGTGCTTTGGTACCATGACCAGCAGTGATGTACAGTTTTAAGAATCAGAATATATAAATAAACAGTAGGAGACATTTGTGGGATGGCATTGTTTGTTTTTGAGAATGCAGACCAAAAAGAAGACACCTGTCTGATTCTTAGGCCTACCTCTTCAGATGAAGTATACATTTCTAATTTAAAATGTAATCTCAATGAAAATGATTCAGCAAAAAGTGACACAAAGCCTCACTTCATACTTAAACACACACCAAAAAAAAGCAGATTTTAGTTGAATAAGTACTCTGAGCATAGACTTATTTTTTCCCAGTTGCAGTTTTCAGGAACAGATGAACAAACCTAATTTAATTAATGGTATGTTTAGAGGTAGAAGTATTTTGGAAATAAAGAGAAAGAAGGGAGAAGTATGCTTGTGAAGGAATGATGCAATCAATGAGCTTGCTATGCCTTTTTTCTGTGCTCTCTCATAATACTGTGATGGTATAGACAGTTAAAGCTGAATTGCCTTCACAGTTACCATGTTTATTTTAAATAGGATTTTGCATGTTCAAGCTAGAGAAAGTCTTAAGCCATGAACAGTCAGGAGGAGACATTAAACTATTAGACTACAAGTGATAGAATATGCATAATAGCTAGAATGTTCCAGTCTTTGTGTTTTTTAATATACTTAAGTACAGAAGCTACTCTGAATGCAACTTTGCTCTCTAAATACAATGCTTAATTTCAGTGAGCTTTTTGAGGTGGTGGCTTTTGGATTGTTTTGAGTTTGCAAGTCTGTAGTGGGATTCATGAACAAATAATATGTCTCTCACTGAGGGGTGTTTCCTAGTGTTGCAGCTACGAAGCAGTTTGTCTCTCACTTTTATCTTTACTCATCAAAAAAAGGCTTCAAGAAAAGGCTGATTCATCTTGAAGTTTCACATTTAAAAATCAGACCAATTCCACAAGTAAGTATCATACACAAGACTGTCACTTTGACAGCAAAATAGTTCAAAGTTTAGAGGCACCAGCTGTCCATTTTCTCTTTATCCAAGGAAGTGACAGCCTTTCAGATGGGTAAAAGCTAATTTACCATCTTCATAGACTGTGTACATCAGGTGAAAAGTGTTATGGATGGAGAGATTATGAAGGCTGGTGATTCATCAAGATAACTACCATCCATTAATAGAAGACATAAAGTGTCTTAAGTTAACAGCTTTCAGTTGGTGTGCTCAGATTAGATCTGTTTGCCTGAAGAAAAATGCAACTGATCCATTATTTTTCTTCAAAGGCTGATTGAAAGAAGCTTGATGCGGATTCTTAGACAGGGCAGGTGTTACCATCTTGTCTTCAATTAGTGCAGTCGCTTTGAACCAGGAATAAATCTGCTGTGTAAGCTTAGAGTATTTAAAATAATAAAATTCAGAAATGATTGCAGCCAGATGAAAGGCCCTTTATTTGCTGATGAAGAAAATGCAAAATTAGTAGTTGGCGAAGTTGTTACAAAGTATGGCATTCATTCCTCCAGTTTGGATGCATGTGCTATCCTAAGTGGTATGGTCTTTTTGGAAATAGCAGGTGAAATTAATGTACAACTTTTTTTCAGAAGAAAGTATGTGGTTAGTGTGCAATGTCTTAATTCTGCATTATATTGGGGAATTTATTGACACCTCTGAATTCTGTCAGCCTGTGATCTGTTCTGAGTTGCCAAAATTTTAGTTAACAATCCACACAAATACTCTAGTTTGCTTTAGATTACGTGCTTTAAATATCTTAAATGTTAATGAGTGCTATGTCAGGGAGTGTTGTAAAAGTAAAAATTGAGTTGTTTGTTTTTTCCCATTTTTCAGACAATTCAGGCAGATGGGAGGCTAGGGCTGCAAAGACAGGGTGAAAGATGTAGCCTGGATTTACTCTTAGGCGCATTTAAGAGTGTGCAGTGTTGGGATTGCTCCACTGTCCTATCCGTTCATGCCTGTAAGAAAAGCCACAGCCTTGAGTAAGTTGCTTGTGAAATGTCTGGGAGGAATCAGGTGCCTAAGATTAGGAGCTCCAAAAGCTGGTAGAAAACAGTTCACAGAAAAGGGCACCTGAAAGGGTGAAGAACTGGGTGCTGCTCTTCACTTGGTTTACAGAGCATGGACTTTTTTTTTATAATTAGATGCCTAAGACTGTGTTGTCATAAACAAACTAAAAGTAAGTAACATTCATCTTAACCTCTGCCTTCTGGACCTTTACTGTAGAATGTTTTTCTGGGATATAGAGCAAAGATTTTAATCCACTTCTAGAAGCATGCTTACCAGTGGTCTGCAAAGTGTTTTGTTGTGGACTTACCTCATTCTTCCCCCTTGAAGTTGTTGGATTGAGGATTTGATCAGAGTGCCCTGACCAGTATGAGCATCAATGTTTACAAATATGTAAGGGGTGAGTGTCAGGGAGATGGAGTTAGGCTTTTCTCAGTGATGACCAGTGATAGGACAAGGGTAATGGGTGCAAATTGGAGCATAGGAGGTTCAAGGTGAATATCCGAAAAAATTTTTTTACTGTGAGAGTGACAGAGCACTGGAACAGGCTGCCCAGGGAGGTTGTGGAGTCTCCTTCACTGGAGATATTCAAAACCCACCTGGATGCGTTCCTGTGTGATGTGCTGTAGGTGACCCTGCTCTGGCAGGAGGGTTGGACTAGATTGAGGTCCCTTCCAACCCCTAGGATTCTATGATTCTATGATCTTAACCCTTGGGGCTATAAATTCCTCCTGACTGTCTTCAGTGAATGAATAAATAAGTATTGCAAAGTAGAACAGTGTCTTCATGAGACAGTGAGGGAGATGTATCTTAATTTCTATAAGAGAGGTTCATGCAGCTTTGTGAGGTAAGAAGGTTCAGTTCTGGGATTAGATCAGATGGAGAGTGGCTGATGGTAAATCTTCCACATCTCTGCCAAATACTTGTCACTTGTTTTCTCATTTTGTAAATGCCCTCTACAGCTAGATTGATGTAACTCCTATTAAGAAATAACTGTGAGTGTACATGTTAAATAGTTCTAGAACTCACTAGAACTCACTATTATATATTTAATATAGAATTTGTATGTATGTGTATATATATATTTAGGTACCTTAAAAGGCTATAAAAGCTGACCCAAAGTGGCCTGCCCAAATACGTAGTAGATCAAGGAACTGAACTCAGAAATAACAAATGCCAAGTTAATACTATAATTGCCAGACTGGTTTTGTTTTGTTTTCTTTTTTGTTTTTCTTTTCTAGTGTTCAAGGAAGTAATCTCCTTTTTGTTCTCTGAGGCTCCTACTTTATTGTATGACTACTGGAAGAAAGAGGTTTCTGCTAAAGTGCCTCATAGTTTGGTTTTTGTAATTAAAAAAAAATAAATGCAACAAACACAAAACAAACAAGCAAAAACCCCCAACCCCTTCTCCAAACTGCAATTCTTGTAGCGTAAAACCTTAAGACTTAAAAATGAGTCAAGTTTTTTACAGTCTTAGGCTTTGGTGTCCTTTCTCCACAGAATTCAAATGGAGGACTAGTGAGAAATTTCCTAGGAGTCCTGATTTATATCATGATAGCAGTGGAAAGACTTGCACAGAATGACTGATTCTATAACTCTTCAAAAATACTATTTCTTCCTCCACTACTAGTTAATTTACTCAAGAGATATAACTGAGAATGTTAAACAGTTCCTTTTTTTGTGTTTCATCTTGAGTGCTACATGCCCTTTTGATAATTGAGATGTCTACTATGCAAAGAGAGGAATGTCCATAAACCTTCTTTATTCTTTACAGGTATGACAAAAGAGAAGATGTTAAACCAGGAGACCAGCTGATGTTTTCTTACACACACATACTGATGGAAACAAATCCTCTTCAAATATCACATTACAAGACAACACACAGGCCACTGGCAAATATACCTGGCATCAGTAAAATTGGGTTGAACCTTACTGCACTACCTCCTTTTACTTTAAACTTGAAACCAAAATTAGTACTGTTGGAAAAACTTCCGTTATCATCTTGACTGCGATTTTAAGTCTTTTGATGTAATTTTGCTGATGACTGAATAATCCAACACAGCAGTGAATTATCATTCCAACACTGCAATTCAGCTTTTTTGGAAAAGGCACGGAAAATCTTTTTACCAATTGGTATTTATCTCCGTCCTGTTTCTTACATGTTACAGTGCATTCCTAGTCAGTATATACTTGAATACTGAGTTGTATTGTTAGATATGTTTAAGAGAAGCTACCTACAAGTTTAGTGGTGATAAGTAAAACCTGTCTACTTGCTTTGGGTAGCTGTCTGTTTCATAATGTAGCACAGGTATGTCCTAATTGTCCTATATAAGATACATAATGGAACAGGTTTGTGCTATGGCAATAATTTGATATGTAACCTATATGTGCAAAAATGTATTACTTGATGTACCTGCAGGATTGTAACCCCTTCATTTGTCAAGACTGCCTGTATGAAAATAAAAAGTTATCAGCATAGGAAAGCCATATTTGTTGTAGCTTCATCACAATGCCTAAGTGTGCCCTGTAGGCTACCAAACTCATTAAAGTGAAAGATTCATTTAAAAAGCAGTTGGACCTCTTGACAACCACTGTCTTATAACCACTCTTTAATACACAAATCTGTTATCTTTATGTCAGTGGTTCATGAATAAGCAGCAACTTGAATTTCACAGGAAAAGGAATTTTTAATGCTTCCCTCTTGCTGTAATGATATTAATTTACAGTGCAAAAATTTACCTATGAAAATATTCACTTGAATATACTTTAAGAAGTAAAGTGCTGTTTTCTGTTTCTTATTCAGTAGTCCCTTTGGAAAGGAGTAATGTGCCATGTGTTGCATTCTATAAACTAGAATAAGATAGCATGCTCTGTAGTCTCTTCTTTATTAGATATTTTTGTTAAGGATGTCTGCCTAGATTGCTGAAAGGAACAAGTTTAAGGGGTAAACTAAGGAAAAAATGTTAAAATTTTGTTAGGGCCAGTTGTAATATAACAGGAGCTCCATTACTGTAAATAATCAATATAGATGAAAATTGTGGGCAGAAAATTATTCCTTGCAGACTGAAAACTTGAGTAAAAATTCTTACTGAATAAAGTGTGTTTGGTTTGGGTGGTTTTTTTTTTTAACTTCTGAAGCGTACCTCATACCTGTGTACAGTTCAGTTTTTAGGACTATATTTTTGTTTTATCATCTAGATTATGTATCAGTGGAACTGATCTGGTGGGGTGGAGCCTGCACCCTGTGGGTGGCTGGTGCTGCAGCACAGGCTTCCTCCTGCTGAGCAGATCTGGCAAAGGCAGAATGCAGAACTTGTTGGTCCAGTCTCTGGCAGCTCTTGAAATTGAAATCACTCAAGTATTATCTATTTGACTTGTCTTTGGAAGAAAACTCTGCCAATCTGAACATCAAAGAATTTACATGAGACAGAAGGAAGTACATGTGCATATAACAGAGAATTTGGAACAACATAAATGAAAACTTTTTAGTAAAGCCATTGTGTTAAGCTTAATCATTGACTTTATGTAACTCCTCCCCCCTGTAGTCAACAACTTAAGAACCTAAACTAAAACTTATGCTGCCCAAGCATAGACAAATGTCTGCACTGCTGAAGTTAGGTGTGTAGTTACTCCAGCTGTCTGAATCCCTGGTTGTCAGAATCCCTCTGCAGAAACTTGCTTCTCTTAACTAAAGAGAAAACCTAGGGCTGTAATGCTTCTAACAGGCATCTTGCGCTAAGGCCCAAAGTGGTACAGAACATGGGGGCATTTGGCATCTGAGAAGTTTAATCTTGCTGAATGTCAGATGCACATAGCTGATTCGGTTTGTCCACAGACTTTAGTTCTGATGTCTGCATACTACCTGTTGGACTTAGACCAGTGATGCTGTTCAACTGGTAGTTGTGCGTATGTCTGCTCACAGCACCACCACTGATGAAATTACAAGCTATCTGCTCAAATTGATATGTTTAGTGTATATGGGAGAGAGAAAGATAAAAACCATACAAGGAGACAGGAAAGAGATAGTGGATTGCAGTTTTGAAGAGCATCTGAAGTTTATTTAGGTCCTGTTGGATCCTGTTCTGCGTATTTGGTTATTGAACAGTGCTTAGTTTTAAAATGTGCAATCTGTGCATGCAGCTATGGGTAACCTCTTCCAATGTAAGCCAGGAATATTATGATAGCCTACACCCAGAACAAAAAGAGGCAGCTGTCAACCTGAGATGAAGATTACTGCAGTTTTTCCCCAAAGGCTGCTTTCAATAAACAAGCAGTCCTTGGAATAGAAGTTAAAGCTGTCTCTCTGTTAAATTAATCTTCTCATATCCAGGTCCTGTGTTGTCTTTCTTTAGCTCCACAAGAAACATGGAGCTTATTTTCTTCTTTATGATAGGTTATTATTTAGTGTACTTGCATGGAAGAAAGAAAGCATGGGTTTAAGTTCCCTTATATCTAAGAGGGCATTAAGGAAGCCATTCATCCCTTCTACAAACTTCAAGTAGGATATTACAAATTCTGCATTTGGGGGGCATAGGGAGAAGCCTCAAGTTACTGCATGAATGATGCAGGTAAGAAAGACATGAAGAAGATGGAATTTTTATAGGGCCTTCAAAGTAAAAAAATTGTCATCACTGTTCAAGTTCTTAAAATCCCTTTTGTCTTGACTGATTACAAACAACCCTAGCTTAGAGTATAGTTTAATAAAAGCAGAAATAGGGTGAGCTTATTAACATAATTGAGGGCTGAATTAATCTGCATAAGGCAAAAGAGAGGTGGACTGTACTATCAATTGTTAAATCTATGACCTTTAAACACAGAATGGAGTAAACAAAATACATTTAATCTGTATAATGCTGCTGTAGAATGACATTTATTTTAGGGTGTTGAGTTAAAACTCCCCAAAGGTCAAATGTTGTGTACCTTGACTCAACTTCTTTCAAGCAACATTTGTTCCTGTAAAGAGCAAAGCTAACAAATTATTTGGACACAAACATGTCACTTCACCAAGAGATGGTGAATGATCATTGTCGTGGAGCCTGAGATTTAGGACATACTGTTGTAAGTCTAAATGAAGTAATACCATGAAAAAGTTGTGGAACTATCAAATAGAGGACATCCTTGGATTCTGAAAGTAAAAGCTGCTTCAAAACAGGGTTAAACAGGTCACTCTCCCATCAAGAATTAAAAGAACCCAATATCACAGAGCAACTTCAGTTCACAAAGTCTTTTAGAGCATTCAGAGAGGAGAAAAAAATCAGACCATATTTACCTTATACCTGCCTGAAGTACTTGCTATGGGTCTCCTCTCACAAGAGGAAATTTGGGGTGAGGGGACCTGGAGAATGGTTGTACTGTATCAAACATAAAATGTGTTTTATCTGTTTAACACCAAGAAAAGCCAGAACGTGTCTGAGGTTCTTGTCTTTGCCATCCATTCACTTCAGCCATCAGAATACAACCTCAACCAAGGTAACTGCATAAGACATTATGAAACACTGATCACATCCCTTCTCATTCCCTGATGATTTCACACATCCCCTTGGTGAGACAGGATACACATTAGAGCAAACAAGACTGATATTGTGCTGCCTCTTCTACTGTAGTTAAAACTGTTCTAGGACCATTTCTACTTCCCTAATTACTTCCAGTTTCTTCCGTAACACTAAGGAGCTTGAAAGATGAATCATGATTTAAGCACTTGTTTGCTGTAGGTCAATTGCTACCAGAATGTGTGTTTCCCTTGCATCTGACAACTCTTTTTCATCCCTAACAAATTAGTGTTGCTTTCCTCACTTTATTACCTGCACTCACCCTTAAATATTCCATCCCCCTTTTTCCCCACCCTGGACTTTCTTTGCAACTTAGTATTCAAAGAGTCTTCCTTGTACAAATGACTTCACTTTCTGTTTGTAAGAAAAGCACAAAACCACAAGCACAGTTTATCACGGATGTAGGCAGGACTGTTTAGCCACAGCCTTCTCAGCTGTTTACATCACTGGTCACAGCTATGTCTTAGATGAAATGTATCACTAGCTGCTTAACATACAACACAAAAGACTAAAAAAGTTCTTGCAAATATTCCTTAAGTTAAATTACAAAGAATACCTTTGTGAAGGTTTTCTTCCTTTTTAAGTACATCTGATTCCTAAACATAATTGATCCATTTTGTATGCAACTACTACTTTTAGATCAGTTATTTAGATAAATGTGAGCAACTACAATTAGTTTTGGTTGTTCATTTAAGACCTTTGTTTATGATAGCAAAGACAGACAGTGTTTCTTCTGAAATGCTACATCTTACTGTCACAGGCAGTCTTTCACTGATTCTGGTTTAGTTCAGCTGCAACTGCCCTTGGTGCTGTACCAAGGTTTGATTTTTTTACCTTGGTAAGGTAGAAATGCTGTCTGAATTACAGCTCATCTTTTCCTTTAAAACTGCCAATTTAAATAAAATTGGATTAAGGAATTGTTTCATAGAGGGCCGGGGAGATGGGGAAAGAAAGTGGCAGGGACTGCTTAGACATTGATCTGGCCCTTGGAACCAGAGTTGAGGATGTAACTGTGATTACTGTTTCTGGTTGGCATACTCATTTTCTGAAATGAAAGACTTGGGTCACCTTTGCAAGGAAATTGAGGTAAAGAATCTCATTGCCAAGAATAAAGCAAAGGATTAATATATTTGTAGAAGACTAAAATGCTTAGTTTATAAAATCTAAATAATCTGCAATTAGAAAGTGTTACTTGCTAATAATATTTTTTTTCCTGTGTTTCAAGATGCCTAAATGCAAGTTTGTTATTGTTAGCTTGTATAGTAGTGGGAAAAAAAAATGATACTTTCAGAGACAGACCTCTCAGCAACTGTAAGCATCTACTTTGGGCTTGTCATCTATAGCTTGTCATCTATGTCTATTATACATTTTAATTGTCACACCCTTATGCTGGAATTTAAGCTGCTCTACATAGGTATTTCTGTTCTTTGTAAATTCAAAAGCTAGTCTTGGGGAGCAAGGAGAAGCTATGAGTATTCCTGCAGCCAAAAAAGGTTTTCTTCACTTTTACTTGGAGAGGAAAAGAGGCCAAATGGAAAGGGACAGTGTGGGGGGAACATTATCACAGGATTTTGGAATATAATGTAGATCTCAACAGGTACTTTCCATTATATACCCTTCACAAGACTCGAGTTCTTGGAAAAGGTTGTTGCAGATCTGTACTGCTTCCTCTTCCGGCCTTTAGTAGTACTACAAAGTATTTCTTACTGCAGTGTGTAATTAGTTGGTACACCTGCCTACTCTTAAAAGAATCAAAAGCTGTAAGATTCTTATAATGACACAAAGCATCATCTGTAGTACCAGCTACACTTTGCTTTTCACACTAAGAGAGAAAAAAAAAAAAATCTGCTTACTACATTTCTTTGTAAAGTTGCTAATGTACTGAAATTAATTGTTTAAATAAAACAAATATAAGTGCTGCAGGTTCACCATGTCATTCAGAATTAGGGAACTGTCTCCTGCCACAGGGACTGGTGAGCACAAGGTCAGCTTGACAAAAACCCACTTTTAACAGCTGGTGCTTTATTTCAGTCTGAGAGAGGGTACTGTAAAAATAGTGGTTTCCTAGACATTACAGATACAAGAAGAGTTGGAAAAAACCCAAAATTTTTAGTAATCACCAAAAAGTTATATTAAAAATAGAGTAAATCCCCTATAAAACATGCCCACTCAATAACCCACTGCAATATTTCAATGAAAGCTTTCAGCCCTTCTGTTGAAGTCAGTGTTTTCTCAAAGGCAGCAGTGCATAAACTAAGGATGGAGATGCTCCTACAGAAGGATCAAGGCTTACAACTGAAAAGTAGCAACTTTGTGCTTTCAGTCTCACCTATTTTAATTTCCATTTTTAAGAACCGCGTTTTGATTTCAAGGCCTTTTCGGCCTGCAATTCTCTAAAAAAAATAAAATAAAAAAAAAAAATCAAACATAAGCCTATTATTAATTCTTAACCAAGCTGACACGGAAACAGTGCAGTCCTAAAAAAAAAATAAATAATAAAAAAAAAATATTACAATGTTAGGGGCTGGAAGGCACCTCTGAAGATCATAAAATCCAACCCCCCTGCTGCAGCAGAAACACCTAGGGCAGATCACACAGGAACACATCCAGTCGAGTCTCAAAAGTCTCCAGAGAAGGAGACTTCACAACCTCTCTGGGCAGCCTGTTCCAGTGCTCTGTCACCCTCATAGCAAAGTTTTTCTTCATATTGAGGTAGAACTTCTGTGTTATAACTTAGTGCCATTTCCCCTTGTCCTGTCACAGGGCACCACTGAAAAGAGATTGGCCCATTCTCAACATCCACCCTTCAGGTATTTGTAGACATTACTATGGTCACCTCAGTCTTTTCTCAAGACTAAAAGGTCCCACGTGTTTCAGACTTTCCTCATTAGACAGCTGTTCCAGTCCCCTAATCATCCTTGTAGTTCTCCATTGGACTCTTTCCAGCATATTCCTGTCCCTCTTGAACTGGGAAGCCCAGAACTGGACACAATACTCCAGATGTGGTCTTACTAGGGCAGAGTAGAGGGGCGGAGAACCTCTCTTCACCTGTGAACCACACTATTCTTACTGTATCCTAGGACACTATTTGCTCTCTTGGCCACATGGGCACATTACAGTCCCATGGGTAACTTGTCCACCAGGACCCCAAGGTCCTTCTCCATGGGGCTGCTTTCTAGCAGGTCAACTTCTAATCTACATCGGTGCATGGTGGTTTTTCACCCCAGGTGCAGGACTCTACACTTACTCTTGTTGAACCTCATTAGGTTCCTCTTTGCCCAGCTCTCTAGTCTGACTAGATCTTACTGAACGGCCACACAGCCTTCAGGCGTATCAGCCAATCCTCCCAGCTTTGTACCATCATCAAATTTGCTCTGTCCCATCATCCAGGTCACTGATGAAGATGTTGACTGGGCCCTGTATTGAGCTCTGGGGAACTCCACTAAGAACTAAGAAACTAAGAACTAAGCCCTTCAAAAATAAAATAAAATTTAAAAAAAAAAAAAAAAAAGAAATTGCAGGTACAAATGAAGTGGACTAATTTTTAACTGATAACATTTTTTAAATACTGACTAGTTGTTCTGCTTTCAGGAAAAAGCAAATGACAAAAAGCATGACTAGAGAATTAAGTATCCATTGGAATAAGATGCAAATTGGGGGCTACAAAATGCCATCAGTAACTTTGCACATGAGAGTTACACAGGAGCTACAGCCAAGACTGCCTTCAGAGGAGCTAAGCTGCTTCTCCCCAGAGAACTGGGATTTTCAGGTAAACCTGTTCAACGTCAGGACTCCTGCTGGTATGATATGGCTCTACAATGCCTTAAGCCAAAGGCTGTGCCTACATTCAAGACTTGATAAAAAAGGTGTATCACTTGTTTAAAAACAAAAACAAAGCAAACAAACAAACAAAAAAGACAAGGAAATAAGTCTCTTCGTCCTCTACCTCCCTCTTTACTGGTCTGGAAGATCAAATACCTCCTTTACAAAGGTCAAGGTTATATTCACAGTTAAAATGCAGGGAAAAATTGAGATAATGATTAACCAGCAACCATTTAAACATTTCTCAATAAGCTGCTTCAAACTCACCTAGCTCCAACTATACATAAACTAGAACAAATTGTTTTATTACTGCAGAAAAATGTGTGCTGCTCTCATTTAACTCTAGAAAAACAAGGAAATATTTACTGTTGATAGAACTAAAAGTTACTCTTCAAAATCCTGAAGACAAAATTCAGTATTAGTTTTTTCCCCAAGTACACTATATAATAATTTCTTAAATAGTACAGGTATAAACGTAACTGATAGAATGGCAATTGAAATACCTGAAACCATAAAATGTTTAGAGAAACATTATGTGGAAACCAAAGCCAACTAGGAAAGCATTCAACAAATTTTCCTGAGGTTGAATAGCTTGAGTGAAATGAAAAGAACCAGAATCTAAGCTTAATAGCAAAGAGCTAAATGGAAACCAAATATTTTCACATAGCACCTTCAGTGGTATATTTGCTATTACAATTGTATAAACTCATTTTTATTCAATGGTTGTCTTAAATCCATCTAAAAATAAAAAGCAGCTTTGAATACCACTAGAAAATTGCAAATAAAATGTTTAATTTCAGAAACTGAGTTCACCATTTATAAATACACTAAAACATAGTAAATGCAAAATTAGATTAGGCATAGGTACAGTATTTTAACAAAGCTACAACTTTTCTAAAAGGTCATAGGCAAATGATGACTTGTTTCCCAAAAAGTATTTAATGAAAACTGAAATGAGAAGATTAATCTTTCTATAGTAAAAAAAAAAAAAAGAACATTCCTTTCAAATTAAAATGCTTGCTGTTCTTTTCCATCTTACTTGAAGTTTTGAGGTCTCTATATCCCATTTGCCTGATGGACACCACCAGTTAAGAATCACCTCTACTACATAAAATTCTAAGCAGTGCACCATATCCATAAGGCTATTATTGAAAATCAGAATAGTTTTTTCTGTACTAGGAGCTTTAAGAAAGTCTGTTCTACACAACTGAAATTACATTAGGAGTAATGGATCAATTTTTACAATAGGGAACCTTATAGTTTTGATGTACTAAAGATCAGAAAACGCTTTAGAATGATATTAGAGTATTCATGGTAAGTTTCTTGCCATTTATGTACCTGGCATTAAATAAAAAGCATTAATTCACAAACTTTGATAAGACTTCCAAATAGCTTTTATAAATACCCAGAGTATTTCTGTAGTTCAGTTAAAATGCAAAACCTGAACAGGAGAACCCAGAATGAGAAATTTTACTACAGATTTCTGTATAACTGATATTCCATGTAATTTCAAATTTAAGATTTATTTTCAGATACTAAGTCAATAGTCTCCTGTAAACGCATCTTCCTCAATAACTCTTTTTAATCCTTTAAGCACTTTAGAACTTGCAGTTAGAAACACCACCAGATAAAAGACAGCTTGAACCTCATCGTTCATGTACAGCTTTCCTTGACAACTACAAAAGCTCTTTTGTTGCAATTAAAGCAATGTTCAACTAAAATACAGTACCTGGTTTATGGTTTTTACATAATAATTGAATAAAAAACTACAGAATAGAACTGTTTACATCTTTTTTTGCCCTTCTATTAAAACAAATGACTGAGCTTTTTTAAAGTTCATTTACAATTATGAATTAAAACCTACATAATTTTGTATAATTTGACAAGACAGGCTATCTCTAGTGTGAACTTTTAAAAAACATATATACAATATCTGGCCTGAAGTTCTATGAATAAGGCACATGTAGACATATTGAAAGCTGAAAAAAAAAATGAAACTAAAATTTGGAATTATAGTCACTGATTAGATGTCATACATGGCCCCTACTGGAGCAATTTAAAAATCCAAGTTATAGATAGTTAATATCCAGTGAGCAACAATAGTCTACCAGTTTGTTCATTAGTTTCAATACTGAAAGTATATTAAAGGAAGATTCACTTTCAAAAAGATAAGCTTTTCAAAGTGTTCAATCATTAACCTGGACTGACTAAAGTTGTTGCTTTCATTGGATGTATTGAACAATCTCTCTGAAGGAACAATGCTTGGTGGACAACCCAAGAACCTGACAGCCAATTTTGACAGTACTGGCCAGGATGACTTCTTAAAGTTCCAGTAAGTTAGAGGATCACAGTTATGCTCAAGCACTTCTTCCTCCAAGTAAGAAAGCACCATTTCCTCTGGTAACTTTGCTCTCTCTTTCAGGTCTTTTGTTTTCTTCATGTCACCCATAAGTGACCAAAGATTATCTTCTCCACATGAATTTGTAGATGGTGAACCTATACCACATCCATTGGAAACAGGTTTATCATCATCTGAGGTAGAACTCATTATTTCCAGCTCCCTGATTAAGTCTTGTTTATATTGTTCAGCCTCCTCTTCTGTAAATAAGGATGTTTTATACCGGGGATCCAGAAGTGTAGCAAAAATGTACCTTGGATCATGAAGTGTGGAGGACAATCTACTCACCATAGCTTCTTTCAAAGATTTCAGCATAGTATCTATGCCCATTGTTTCCTCAAATAGCATTTCTATTTTCCTGTTAAGTATATGAATCATTGGAATCACTTGGCTTAGAGTAGACATGTGTGTACTCATCTCCTTGCTTGCAGCTTCAAAAGGTTTGAGAGCATGACACACTGACTGCATGACTTCCCACTGATCACAGCTTATTAGCTCTCGAAAGCTACACTCTATTGACATTTCATCAATTGCTCTCTTCTGTTCAATAAGACGTTCGAGCATATGAAACGATGTATTCCACTTCGATGGAACATCTTGTATCAGCTGATGCTGAGGCAACTCATACTCTTTTTGAAGCTCAGCTAACTTCTCTTTTGCTTTTGCTGACCGATGGACGCGTTCACAGATCTTTCTTGCAATACTAAGCAAATTCTGAACCATTCTCTGGCTTTTAATAGCCTCATTTACAATGACATTAACAGTGTGACTAAAACATTGTACACTTGAATGATCACCTTCATTTAAAGTTTTCTCTATACTCTGATTATCAGTAACAGTAATCCCAATCTGAAGGCCAATGGAAGTAATCCATGTTTCCCACCAGTACTCTAACTGCTTTTGAATACTGATTCCATTGTAGTCACAATCAATCTGTGATACATTTAATAGTGCTGAACAATGGTAATCCTCACACTGTGGTCGAAATGAAGACTCAAATGTTACCCAGTGAGCTGTCAGGGTTAGATATTCTCGTGTTTGGTTGCTCATCCATATTCCGGATGTAAAATGGATCACTCCACTTTCAGCTTCTTTAAGATGTGAAATAATTATTTGTTTTACATTATCATACATATCTGGAATTGCTGTCCTAGAAAAGTAAGACGGAGAAGGTAAAGAATACTGAGGTTGTAAGTATTCAAGCAGCCTGTTAAAGCCAATGTTGTCTACAAAAGAATATGGCTGAAGGTCCAGTGCAATCATTTCGGCTACGAGACTTGTGATTTTTTTGGCAACTGGGTGAGAGTCACAAAACTTATCATTGGTTTCATCAAAATTTGAAGAGCCTAGTAACTCTGTGCTCAGTGGCATATGATTATCCGTAGATGAGGATAATACCGTCTCCGAGGCATCAGTTTGCAATACATTGTTATGAAACCGCTGCAAATGTCTTAGAAGGCAACTTGTGCCTAGATTTGTTGGCTTTTTCCCCCTACTTATTGTACGTCCACAGTGCATACATATAACTTTTGTTGAATCTGCAGAACAAATTGAGAAGTGATTCCACAGTTTTGAGGTCTTCTTACTATTAACAGGAAATATGATTTGATTATCATGTGTAACCATTGTAGGCAAGTCAGTCAACTTTGAGGATGAACATTCTGCAGAAGCCAAAGTGGCGTAAGGAGAATTTGCCAAACCCATATCAAGAAAGCTCTTTTGGTTTCCAATTACATCAGGATGGCGTCTATATAGATGTCTCATCAAGCAGCTTGTTCCCACATCTCCTTTCTTACCACGACTTATCATACAACTGCAGTATCTACATACTGCCTTTAGACTGTCTGCAGGTGACAGAGAAAAGTGGTGCCAAACTTCTGATTTAAGCCTTCTCATAATCCTTTTATTTTGCTGAAATACAGCAGTAGGTTCAAATATTAGTGGACCTAATCCCTCACACTGTTTCTCAGGAGATGAAACAAAGGAGACTTCACCTATATCATCAGAAGATGACAGCATTGAGTCTTCCACTAAAGCATCTCCAGAAGAGAGATTAGTATGGATCTCCTCAGAGATTCTGTCTGGAGAAGAAGAAACAGAAGTTGATTCTTTCATTAGTTTTCCAGGAGAGCATGACATAGAATTCAGATCACTATCTGAGGGTAATAAAGAAGGCAACAGGGTTGGAGGTGCATTGTAGAGAGGTGGTATGCTAGTACCACCCCCATTCTCTTGCAGGACAATGGAACGATGGGCTCTCCACATGTGTCTTATTAAACAGCTCGTTCCCAGGTCTTTTCCATTTTTTCCTCTACTGAATTCATTCATGCAGTGAATACAAACAGCTTTAGAATTATCTAGAGGTGATAAATAAAAGTGTTTCCAGACAGCAGACCTCCTTCTGGATCCTGATGTGCTCTTTGGAATTACAACAGTTTTTTCTGCTACATTCTCTGCATTGTCATCATACTGGTTGTTGGGTAGCTGTGGAGATGACCCAGCCATGACTTCTTCTTTGACACACTTTTCAGAAACTGAGAGATCTGATATTTCTTCAGAAGAAACAAGTGAAACAGATTCCTCAATTATTCGATCTGGAGATGGTATTTTGGAAGCCATTTTCTTGACCAGTTTTATAGGGGATAACATAGAACTCAAATCTCCAACATCTGCGGACTGAGGTGGCAGCAACAATGCAGGTGAAGAAAAGGAGGATATACCTGGCATACTTCCATTTTCTTTTATTAGTACAGTGGGATGGGCTCTCCTCACGTGTCTCATGAGACAACTGGTACTCAAGTCCTTTTCATTTTTACCCCTGCTAAATTCTTTCATACAGTACATACATATTGCTTTAGTGCTATCTCTAGGAGATATAAAAAAATGGTTCCAAGCAGGTGACTTTTTTCTGGAGCTTATGTTTCTGCTAGAAAGGAGGCTTTGTGTCACAGCTTCCATTGCTACATCATACAGTGTACTACTATACTGAGAAAAAAGAGATCCATAATCATCCTCATTTTCTGTAGATAAGTATTTGCCCGCATTGTTAGAAATGAAGTTCTTTTCTTTGTCTTCCTGTTCATCGCTGCTGTCCGCATGTTTGAAATCATCTTGTTCTGTTTTTACATCTATTCTTTCTAGAGCACAGTTCATGCTGTCTTCCTCTTGCTCAACTTTGAAGTTAGTGATTTTACCCAATAAGAAATTACCATCCATTCTGGGGGAAGCTACTTTACTCTTGTCCATGGATGACAAATTCTTCTTGACAAGTCTTCATTGACTAATGAACATAGTGAATTTAAAAGAGTATTCAGAATTTGATTAAAACGATGTAATTTGCATACCAAATCCAGAAACACAAATGTGTGTATGTGTTAAACTAATCTCCGATTTAGGAATTCCTGTATCCGTGTTGTGCATAAGCAAATATTATTAGTCATAAAAATCCATTTTAAAATTATAGACTTAATTAATGGAATCCCATTTTTTCCCCAGGATCAGGACATTTCAGGTCATAGCTGAATGTTCTCAAAGACAGCTACTGTTAAATGCTTCATGTTGTAGAGATAATCCTAAAAAATGGATGCTCTGTTTTCTTGTTGAAGGAAGCCATTCTGCTCATCTTGACTGGGCAACTGGGATTTCTTCTGCACCATCTAGAAATGAAAAAAAAAAAAAAAAAAAAAAAATAGGGCAGAGAAATGGAGCCCTTCAACCTCCCATCACAAATTTTTGCTCAGCCTGGTCATCGGGGGCAGAAAGTTACACAACTTTTGGTAGTATTTCATCCTCACAGGAGAGATGTTATGATTGCTAAAGATAGAAGGGGAGTTTCTGAAGAGTTCACCAGTTCTGATGTTTACAAAAACTGTCACTATTATTCGCCACTAAATATTTAACTACATAGTATTGATGTGTACTAGTACTGCAGCTCAGGTCACAGGTTGGTAACATTAAAAGATACACTGGCCAGATAAGTCCAACTCTTTTGATGCAGAAATTAAAAGCAAGAGAGATAGGGGGAAAAATGAGGAGGGAAGAAAAAACTACAGCTAAGAATAAGATGATAAAGTTGGCTAACACTTTAAATAGCTACATACATTAAAGGTGAACTGAAAACAGGCATTAAATTTTCTGTGGGTTTTCTTTTCCTTCGAGATAAAAACATTGCAGAGTACTATTGCAAAAAAACCCCAACAAACAAAACAACAACCAACAACAAAACAAGACAAGCAAACAGCACTCAGGAAATACATTTATCGTGGGCAAAGACATGCCTACACATGCAGCTCTGGTTCAGCTCTGACAAAATCTACAGTCCAAGCGCCACTTTTGTATTTGCTTGGACAGATTTATGCCTCATCCTACATCCTAATTCAACCACTGCATAATCATACATACATACATGTATATACCAACTTATACTATATATAATGAAGACAAGCTGTCATTTAATCATGTTAGCACATAAATATGTAATTTAAACCAAAGGTTAAGTCATACTTCTGTACATGTAAGCTCTTCATTACTAACAGCAGTGTTAAAAACTATATTTTACAAGAAACCTCTGTAAAGGTGTCCAGCATTGTCACACTAATCTCTCTTCCTCTGACCATGGGCTCACATGGTTATATTCATGCTGCAACAACCCCAGACAACAAACACCCATACTACAGAAACAAGCTACTTTCAGAGTTTCATGATTAAAACCCAAAATGTTTAATTTAGGATAACTAATAAATGCCATATACACACTGAGGCAAAAAGCATAAGAACACCACTCAAAAGCAAATGCACACATGCTGGTGCCTAGTGCAACTGCCAGCTCAATTCCTCACATATCCAAGGGTTATACTAGAAAGCCCATTTACAGCAGGATGGCTCATTTCTCCCATGGGTAAGGATTTCCCCCACTAATGTTTCCAGTACAAAGAGTAGGTTTTGAAGTATAGCTGCATATGAACCACAGGGCAACAACAGGCTCAGAACCCTCTACTGGCCCCACACAAACTTGAAGATGATGTCTGCATTTGTCAGCCACATTTATTTTTTTTTCTTTTTACTACAGTACTATCAGAATTCTCATTTTTGCCAAACCCTTCCCCACTTATTCTCTTGTGTCATTAATATAGTTATTGGTACCTTCATTCAAGGTAACAAACATTCTTTTCATCACACAGGTGATGCTACACTATGCACTAGTGCAAACTGGATTTGATGGGAGTCTTTCTCCCATCAGAAGGCAACACAAATTTGAATTGGTTATTTTAAAAATGTCTCACACAATTTTCACGTGATACTCAAACACAAAAAGGATTTCAGCAGACAAAAGGTGACATTAGTCAAAGCTACAAGACACACACAAAGTCTAGGTTGTACTCACACATCCATTTGCCCCCTGAATGAAGATCAAGCTCATACTAGCTTTTGTCACCTATTTTAATTAATATTTCTCTGAGATCTGTTTACAAGAGAGATCAGAAGCGCTTATTTCCTATGAATTTCAGATTTCTGGAAAGCATATTGTAGCAATAACTTTTTCATTCTTTTCTAGTGATGGGGAAGGGACAGTGAAAAGGAGGCAGAACCAGCTTATTGCTGCTATTTTAGGAAAAGTGAGATGGAGCAGTTGGAACTTGCAAAGAGGAAGGCAGTAACTCTGGTTTTCCTTCTATGAAAGTAAAAAAAAGTTTTCATAACCAAAATACAGGATGGCTGAGCATGAAGAACATCAGCCCTAAAAAGGGGAGAGACTTGAAGAAAAAGAAAAAAACTTGAAATTTTCAAAGAATTGTAATACACTACACAGTACTTTCCACAGGTTTCTAAAATCACACCTAAGACCAACTCTGGAAGCAGAAACTAAATTTACATCGCTCCGTAAAAAACTGCATTAAACACATTAGTGATCACAAACATAAGATGATACAGAAGCATGTGCATCTGGGATGAGGGTGAGCATAAGAGAGTAGACATTTTATATAGAAATCAATCTTAGATTTTTTTTCATATTTATTTTGAGCTAATCTGTGAATTCTGAGCTTGTACTGCAAACAGGAAAAGCAAGAATATAAAATAAGCTGTTGTCACTTGGCATCACGGAATAGAAAGGCTCAAAAGCAAGTGACTCCGCACAGAGCTTACAGAACATAAATTATGCATGTAAGTGCCAAGTTACATTAAGCACATTAAAGATTCCTAGCTAGATTTGGACAAAATACATGCATGTATCAATTGACGTGGGGTTCTGATGAAGTTATGCACAATTTCTTTGCCTTAAAGCAGGTAATCACATCTCTAGCCTGCAATTCCTCTAATTTCTTAATTATGCCAAAACAAGTCTAAGCTTCTAATGGAAAAATCCATGAAGATGCTTCACTTGTCCCTATCCTGATAAGCAGTTACTGTTTAACACAGCCATGAGTAAGGTAGCCATGATGGGAAGATTTGGAAGCCTCATAAATGAAACCAGTTGCAAACTTCACAACAATACTTAACTAGATTGACAGTCATTAACAATGGTCAAGTTCTTAATAATTACCAGCCATTACATATTCAATTAGACCCCAATAATCTTACCCTAAATTAGCTTTGAGTACACAATACCACTGAGCTGATGCTGTGCAGTTAAATACTGATGTCTACAGTCCTCGATCATCTTTGTGGCTGGGGTTCAGCAGATGAGAGCACTATCTGAACTCTGAAGCAGGAATCATGGTGGTAGACTTCTTTCTTCCCTATTTCTCCTTGCTGTCCTTGGGTGTTTTTAATGCTCCTTACCTCCTCCACCAAAAAAGGGTGTGGGAAACTAGTCTCATCTGCTCTGGACATTATTTACCTTATTTTCTTTACTATTCCTGTTCCACCAGAATTCTTTCCTGTTTATTCCATGTCCTTTAGTTGTGCTTGCAGCTTTTACTACTTGAATTGTTGATTCACGTGTTTTTCCACCCCCTATTTGTGTAATTAAACATAGGTCTCCCTTTACAGCTACTACATTATTTCTATACTTACCTTTAGACATGATAAAAATACTTTCATGATGTTAGGAGGGTTATGCTATCAGCAGTGTTACAAAGCATTACTACAACATACCATAAAATTAAGTCAAACCTCCTTCTCTTCAAACACCCCTGACGGTTCAACCCAAATTTTCTTCAGAATGCAGTCCCCAAAATGGCCAGGGTTAGAAAGTTAGATGTGTTTTTCATCTCCCCCTCCCATGCCAACTCCATTTAAGAGTCACTCTGTTTTAAAAACAAAACACCTCATCCTATTTTAAAATTTTATAGTAACCTAGAACAAAGTAAACATTTGTTTATGGCCACCTTTACAAAGCTTATTTACCCATGGGACACACACTACTTGAAGTTAAGGACTACTGCTAAACAAACAGGATATTCAAGGAGAAGGAGAATGTTTTCAAATATATAAAAGGCTACAGGCAGTCAGTTTAAAATTAATTATTTATGCCTTTGAAATGTCCTCAGTAAGATACAGACAAGCAGTGAAACAAAGAGAATTAAGAGCCACCCTGCAACAAAAATAGTCACAGAAAATAAACAGAACTAGAGAACTATTATATCTACTCAAATGTACTACTCAAGACTATTAGTTCCCGAGTATTTGTAGACAATCAGAAGTTTGCTGTGGTTAAGAAGCCTGCAGAAAGACTTCATAGGATTTTCCATTGAAAATGGGATTACTGAAAGCATATGGTGGTTGGCAGGAAGTATCAGGAGAATGTTATTGATCCAAAGAGTGCCACAGCAGACTGCCATGACCAGAAGAAATCACTGCTGAAGGAAGAGGGGAAATAAATAAACAAACAAACAAACAAACAAATAAATACATAGAGAAGCACTGGTGTCTTGGGATTGCAGAGTATCTGTTTGTAAAGGAGATACTGGCCTGCAAACTTTAAACAATTTTAGAATTTAGGTTGGGTAGTATGGGTTCTACCATATGGTAGTATGGTAGAATAATGATCTAGAGAAAGCAATTTAAAACAAAAAAACTTTAAATTATTATATATACAAGTGCACATATTGCTTAAATATAAACACACACCAGAAAAATGCCAGAATAGCTGCTTCAAGAAAACTGCAAAATGTGGAGACAAAGTGAAAGCAGAACTATTTACTACATTGAAAAGAAAAATAATCAAAATAGCGACAGATTTGGAGTGTAAGAGGTATACAAAAGCACATGAAAACCACACATTTTTGCTACCTTTTTTCAGTTTTAGAATACATAGTGCTAATCTTGTTTAATTTTGGAAATGTACAGGTATCATTAAGAACACCAAGTAAAAAGAAAATCCCTAAAAGCAAGCAATATGTTCAATAAGGAAGAGATATTTCAAGAAATTACTACTAGCTTCCTATTTAATGGTAGGTACTATGCTAATCAAGGAATGTTTACTGAAAATAAACGACAATCACACGAAAAACCCCAAATTAAGAACTGAAAAAAACAAAACACAGATGTAGAAGCTTGTAATAAATAAGCAGAACATTTTTATAAATGTATAGCCTTGATAAACCTTGCCACTTTTCA